TTTTTTTTTTTTTTTATCAATTTGTTTCGTTAATTGTTGAATTTCTCAGGTTTCTCTCTTATTTACCTAACTTGGTTTTACATATCTTAAAACTTAAATATCTACTCTTTTTGGGATAAAAAACGTTAAGATGCCTAAGAAATTTTTTATAAAATCACATAATTTGTGGTTAAATAAAATAATTTTTCATCAAATTTCTAATAAAAATTAATTATTAAGACAATGCGAAATAAAATATCATGGTTGAAAGTTTAATGTACGAAATATAATAGTTCAAGTATAAAGTAACATAAACTCACAATTGGAGGGAGCAAGGTGTAATTAACATAGAGTTTAACATGCGGGAGGAGTTTGGATTTGTTTTGGGAGAGAGAAGATACGGTAGAATTGCCTTGGAATAAGATGGGTATATACTTTTTTCCCCCTTTTTGTGGTTGTTATGTTTTGTGAGAATAGTCAGCAATCTAACCCGGGATGTGTATGTCCTATATATCCGGGGGATATTGCTTCGGTTGTCACTGTCTCGTACAATTTTATGCCATGTTAAGTTTTTTAAATTTATATCGATTTTTTACAATGTTTATAGGCAAGTTTTTATCATGTGTTTAATATTAGTTATAACCCGCGTTTTAAAGTATGTGTAGATAAAATTAGAAGTGCTAATTTTCTTATCAGATAGATTGTGATTAAATGTAATTGTTGAGTATTATATGTGTTACTGCGTTAACTGTGTTGTTTCTTGACTTCTTTTGTGTATCTTTGGAACAGTTTGATTAGGAAAAAGATTATATTAGATAACTGATAAATGGTATAAAAACTTATCTAGAAAAATGGTATAAAAACTTATCTAGAAGATAAAGCGTATTGTTTACTATACAGCATAAACTCAAGTGGGATTGACAATGATAAGAACGTGGGCACCATCTCATTGGTTGTTCTGTTTTTTAAGGTAAGTCTGGGTGCGCGTAAGAATGTATACCACCGGCTGAACCGGTCGAGCTCTGAAGAGCAGTGGGCAATGTTGGTCCCACTTTACCAATTTCCCCGTTTAGACCACTGGGGCGGTGCCCCTTGAATTTGACCTCTCTCTCACTGTCTCTGTCTCTCCCTCGGGATTTGGCTTGCTGTGGTGTCTATCTTACGATGACTTGATGAGTGATGACCCTTTTTGTTGGTTGCATTCACAAGCAGTCCATGTGCCCTTTCAATTAATTAACGAATATATACACACACACACACTCTTTCAATTTACATAACGTAATACAAGGATGATGATTTATACGGTAGTAGATTCATTTAATTGTCACAATATTTCACCCGTAGCGAGTTAGAAGTTGTATTCTGTGGAGTTAATCTCACTTTATAATCTAGAAGATGCCCAATTCTCAATTTAGATCTTACAAGATTTTGGTTCTGTTTAGTTTGTGTCTCAAAAAATAGTATTTAAAAATTATTTTTAGAGAAAAATTTAGAAAAGTGTGTTTCGATATTTTTTGTATCACATAATTTATTAGGTTATATAATTTCAAAAATAATTTTATAAAATATAAAATAATAAAATTTATTTAGACAATAATCTAAAAAAACAACAAAAACACAAATGTTGGAGTGGTGAAAGTGTGGTAAGTAGAAATGGTGGTGGTGGTGGTGTTTTCTAAATTCTGAAAATGTTATTTTAAAAAACACAAAATAATTTTAACTTATTCTCTGAGGGGTCGTTTGGTAGACGTATTATAAGAGAATTAAATATCTTTTTTTATTGTATTAGACTGAATTATTTTATCTAATTCATCCATTTTTAATATGACAATCAAACGAGCCCTAAATTTACTCACTTTTTGTTCTTAATTTTCAAAAATCAAAAACAAAAAACAGTTGTCTAAACAACTTTTCTCCCGAGAACTATTTTCAAAATCAGAAAAACTGTTTCATAAATACAAAATAAACAGGGCCTCCATTTCTTCCTTTTCACTCTCAATATTATAGAAAAACAATTTATAGTCATATTTGCATCACTTACTATAATAGATAAGAGTGACAATTTTTGACGGAACATGAAACTATGACTCGAAATCGACGTGAAATTAGCGAGTTAACGTTGTTCATTTTTTGACACGAACTTATATATGACACGACTGTTAACACGAATAATAAATGAGTTAAATTAGTGTTAAACATAAACAACACAAAATTGACACTATTAACATGTTTAAATAGTATTAGAAAAATAAAATGTTAATTTTTTTATTATATTTATCAAGTAATGATATAATTCTTGCACAAAAAAAGAAGATATTTTTACTGATTTTTATAATTATATTTATTAAGTTAAATTTTAGTTTATAGAAAAAGTATGAGCATAGGTTCGATTAAGTGATAATAAAATTTTAGACATAAAATTGAGCGTTTAATTTTTTATTCATGTGTTATACAAGTTAACAAGAATACAATACGAAAATAAATAAATCAACATGACACAACATGATTAGTTAAATAGATTAAATTAAGATTGACTATTTCTTAATAAGAAGTTGAAATAACACAACCTGACATGACCTGACACGACATGACACAATTATAAACTTTCGAGCAATGCTATTGGAACCTAATTCACTAGAACCTTTGGATTAACTGTGCGCTCCATTCAACATTGGAACTTGGTGTTTATCTAATGGTTCTATTGAAGCTATGTCATTAGGTCAACAAATTATGTCAATTTTTTAAGTCCAAATAGTATTTTCCTAAACTTTAACAATAGAAAAGTGTACGATAAATTAAGTCTAAGCTACATTGTCATTTTTGAATGTTATTGAAGGTATAATTTGAGAACTATTATCATTTAGGATACAAATTAATAATTAAAACATCTTTCAAAGTGTAAACTGCGATTAATCTTATTCTTTTAAATTTTTTAAGTAACAAATTACTTATTATGTATTATTTGTGGAGCCATTCACATATTGAGTCCGGTCTAACTTCAGAGCGAATGACCTTGCTTTTAATAAAAATAACAGTGCACAAAGTCGTAAACATATTTAAATAAATAATTTTAAAAAATAATTATTTTAATTATAATTAAAATTTATTATTAATCTATTATATCCATCTTTGAATATCAAATATGTTATTTTTAGGTATCTGGTTGGCCATTTAGACATTTCTTTTTTTTATTTATAATAAAGGTTTATTGTAGAATTATTATTCTTAAGTATTTGGACATCTAGTTATATTATGGATTTATTATATTTTTTTTTCAAAGAGATTGAT